CCCTGCAATGGAAGTATTATCATTCTTATTTTACAGGGAAAAAAATACAAAAATTTGTACTTAGATTAAATCACTCTCCAAAAAGTCTTACTAGCTAGTAAAACTGCAGATCTCTGATCTGAACCAAAGACAATTTATTCACAAAACTCTAAAAGTGGTAAAAAACAAATAGGGCTGCTCCTGACGGACATCAAGAAGAAACACTCCTTTGACTAATTCAAAGGGACCTGGAACGCACCCAGTTATGTTATGGATCATATAAATTTTTCTAGTGTACTTTGTGAACATGACCACAAGAATTACAGATAAATGTTTTCAAGTCCCAAATATATTAGTCCCCAAATTTCAAAAATATCCCTATTCCTAGTTTGGAAACGGGTTTAATGTACCCCAAACACAAATTATTTAAGGTTCATGAGCTGTATTTAATAATCTGTTTCACACTTTTCATGTCCTTATTTGCTCAGCCTGGATATACAACAATTAATCTCTTATACTGCACTTCCAGAGTTTAATATTATCTGTTTCCATTCCTACCTCATTCATGGTCTAGAAGAAGACATGGCTTAAAAAAAATTGCTATGAAAATGTGATAAATGCTACTAGGCATGCAGAAAGTGTTATAGAAAGGAAATAAATTTAAGGAATGGCACTACTAATATCTGACTATCATTCACAGGCACCCACCTCTAGGTCTAGAACTGGGTACACAGTATGCTCCCTTTTGCATAAGAAAGGATGACAGGTAGCAGGATGTGAACATGTATGAAAAACACATAAAGTAACGTGGTGAGGTGTATGTATATATTCTCTTATACTTTCAAAAGGGAATGCTGGACGGATAAGTCAGAAATGAATTTAAAATCATTACGAATAAGGAGTGGGATCAGAGGAAGGGATGTAGGCGACAGAATGAAAAGGCTTCTCTGAGGAAATCCTTTCTCTGAGAAATTAATTTTTGATTTTTGCAACATATAAACTTTACATATTTACAAAAAAGATCAACAAAGAAAACAACCAACTCCTGTCCTACCCCCTCCCTCTCCGTTTCATGAAAACAAAATTCAACAACACTAACACACCAGAAGGGGATTCCTTCTGCAGTGTTTTCTAGGACCTGAATCCGCAAGACACAGGAGGCACACTACTTAAAAGTGTCCAATATAAACATACCTTCTCCCACAGAATGTGAAGAGATTACTCATCCAGCAGTTATAATTTGTGGAACACAGGACAGCCACTGCTTTATTCAACTCTACATATCCTTGTAGTCTTTTTAATCCTCCCCCAAAGAGCAGAATAAGTAAGATAAGTTGTATATTATCTAGATAAAGCCTCTTTTTTTTTCTTAGTTTATTGTCAAATTGGTTTCCATATACCACCCAGTGCTCATCCCCACAAGTGCCCTCCTCCATGCCCATCACTCCCCTTCCCCTCTCCACCACCCCCATCAGCCCTCAGTTTGTTCTCAGCATTCAAGAGTCTCTCATGGTTTGCCTCCATCCCTCTCCCCCACTATTTTTCCCCCTTCTTCTCTCCCACGATCCTCCGTTAAGTTCCTCCTAATCCTCCTATACGTGCAAACATATGGTACCTGTCCTTCTCTGCCGGACTTATTTTGCTCAGCATAACACCCTTAAGTTCCATCCATGTTGCTACACATGGCCAGATTTCATTCTTTCTCATTGCCATGTAGTATTCCATTGTATAAATAAACTACATCTTCTTGATCCATTCATCAGTTGATGGACACTTAGGTTCTTTCCATATTTTGGCTATTGTTGAGAGTGCTGCTATGAACATTGCTCATAAAATTTTGGAATCAAAGAAGAAAGTGAAGATCCCAAAAGGCCCCTCTAGTGAAGGTTTGAGTCCCTCTGTACCTTGGGAAATACTCATCTACCTAGATTTTAACAACACTTTTTGGGATGACTTTTAAAAAAATCAAGATAAAATTCACATAACATAAAATTCAGCATTTCAGCAATTTAACGTGCCCAGTCAGTGGCTTTTAGTATAGGCACAAGGTTGTGCAACAATCTTCTCTAATTCCAGAACATGCTCATTACTCCCAAAAGAAGCCCCATGTCTATTTTTTTTCTGAGGTTCTTACTAGTACAAATTTAGGCCTCCTAAAGTTTTTTAACTTTTTCCTCCTCTTTGTATCTTTTTGTTCTATATCCTGAGGCTTTTTGGTTATATTTTCTAGTCCATGTATTGAATGTTTTAATTTCAGTGACATTTCAAAGAGTTTTTTCTTTTATGTTTTTTTAAAAAAATAGTTTACTGTTTTATTATTCTGAGCATATTAATAAGATAATTTAAAACATTTTCTTCTTCTTACATCACCTTTCTTTCCTATAGGACTCATTTTTCTGTTTTTCTCATTTGCTGAAAGGTCTTTGGTTGTCCACTCACATTTAGGGCGGGACAGGGAAACAGTCCTTTTACAGAAAGGAAGTGCTGGAAGGGTTCACCATAAAATAATTAAAATGGTTACTAATAAGGGGTGTAAGGCAGGGCAGACTAGAACGAATGTATGACTTTGGGGTGATCAGGAAGGGAACTACACAATACGGATTCAGAACCCTGAATTCTAGCACCAAAAAGACTTATTTTGGAGCACTGGCTTCCACACTAGAAGCCTTCTGTCCCCAGACATTTTGTTCAGTTTCCTTCTAGAACTATGTGGTGTTCTGCATGGGGGAAAATGCAGGCTGCCTGAGTGGAGGTGGTGGTGGGAAGGAAGGTAGGGATAATAGTGGACAAGTGGGAGCAGTTCCCATCAATAGGCATTCAATTACTTGTCCTTATTTTCAGCTCCGATTCTCCCTCCTACTTCTCTCTGTCCCTGAGTCTTCTCTGGAGATCTGCTAGGCTGATCCAGCTCCTGGCTCAGTGTACTTCCTTGTTTCTTCCTCCAAACCACTCCCAGCTATCTTCCAGCTTCCATAAATTTCTTGTTTATTGGTGACCCAATCACTTGCTTCTCTTTGTTGTTTTTATTTCAAGGAACTCTCAGGAGAGACATGAGTCAAATGCTGGTATCTATGCCACAATTGTGAACTTCATACTTTTAAGGAAAAAGGAAGATTTGACTTTCCATAGAAACTTGCAGAGATAAATAGAACATCAGTTGTTTTCTCTCAAGTTTTCATAGTGCTTGTTATCTATGATGAAACAAAGTGACTATCTAGATAAACACGAAGTACTTCTTTGATATCTAACAGAATTCTCATGATTATGAGATCTTATTATATGTAGGTCTTTCTATGTTTTGTTATTGCATGCTTCTGGGGGAGAATTCCACTATTTTCATTAGCATTCCAAGTGCTCTATAACCTAAAAGGTTACGAACGGCAGGACAAAGTGAAATGTACTCTTTCAAATAGTGGTAGAAGGTAAAAACCCCCATTCCATGATGCTGTGTTTGAATGTTCAGTCTTAAATTGAAGGCATTTAAATCACAAGAAATTAAAGTTTGAAAATAATCTTGAAGTTGTTTACAAGGCCCAAGGCAATCAGGTAAATGATCGTATAATATGTTGGTAAGCAGTGGGCTGTGCTTTAGGAACATATCCCAATGTAGTCTATGCAGTGGCTTGACAAATAAAACAAACACCTCACTCAGGACATTAGCTCTCTTACACAGCAAGCAGCTGAGGATGCTGAGGGGTAGGGATACCAAATAATTTCCCAATCTGATGATCTGGACAGCTACTTGAAATATATAGCCTTTAAGGCATACTGTCAAGTTTACATAGAAGGCCCAGTGGCTAAATTTTAGAAGACCTAGACGGTGAGTTAAGATTAGCCTAAAAAGTAACCAAGAAGGGGAGGAACCGATTGATATATTACCCAAGAGTGTCAGTATCTCTACAAAATTAAACAACAAGTTGTTAATTCTGGTTCTTTAAGAGAGGTTTTGCCGAAGCTACCTAAATGTCAATTTTTGGGTTCTAAGCAAATGACATCTGGATATATGGCATTTCACATATTAGCTCAAACAACTGTTTTATACATATTTTTAAAACTCTAAAAACAGTAACATAGAAAGAGTTGTATGGATAACAATGTATGATTTTAAGTCTCAGTTCTTATTTGTTCAAAATAGTAAAATAAAAATGCGTACACTGTTAAATAAAAAAAAAATTGAATGACACTTGTCAGCACATGGTAAAGACGACTTTATTAAGGGGAAGGAAGCTACTGAGATAGGTTACAGCACCACTGCAATAGAACTCTGCAGTGGGGGAGAGATTAGGCTCATTTCTGAATACTGAATGAGCAAGTGGGAATTTATAGCCAACCAGCAAAAGTGGGAGTCAGAGGATGGAAAATTACTACCAGGAAACATCAGGAATATAGGGTATTCTGGCTAAACTGACCTAATAGAATTCTCACTAGAGACAAGCCAGTGCAATGAGACATCACCTTGGGGATAAGCCATCAGATATTAATTAAGAGTGGGGGTTCTGTTAAATTGGCTTAGAAGCGTTTTTGCTAAAATAAGATTTTATAAGGAAGTGCACAGATGGGGTTAGGAGAAGGTTCAGGAGACTGACTAAACTTTGATCAAGCAAAGAATCTTTGTCAGTATTTATATAATTACACTGACACAGTGGCAGCAGTGAAGGTCAGCCACACAGTATACATTATACATATGATAGTACTGCTTAAGATGTGAGCTACAGTAGCTTTGGTTGGAACATCTGAAGTGAAAGAAAAGTTAATACACATTGATAAATTAAACCCATGTAGTTTTGCCTGGTTGAGTGAAATGAAGGTAAACTTCTTTCTGATGACATCTTCAGGAAATAGGGAACAACACTTAAAAGATTAATGATTATCATATAATTTTATATGTGTAAGCTGTTTAACAGACTAGGCTGAATGTACCCTGGGAAAAATGTATCTGAATATCTTGCTCATCTATTGTCATTTGCTTTGTTTAAATAGGTTATCATCAGAAAGATTTCAATTAAACTCCAATTACTTACCTAAGCGATGAAATCCAAAGGTGAATCTTTTGGTTGGAGATTTTGAGGACAGCCACAAAGCAAGCAGGGTCAGTATGATAGCACTTAGGTCAGTTAACATATGAAGTGCATCTGTCATGATTGCTAGGCTATTTGCAATGTATCCACCTTGGAGTAAGGGTGAGAAAGAAGGAATAAATTAGTTAAAATAATAAACATAAGCAATCAAACCAAAAATATGTAACATCCTACAAAACATCAACTTTCAACTAAATACTTATCCCATCATAATTGAATCAAGGTAACCTGAAATTTTATGTAAAACATTAAATATGTATTTATTTTTGTGATGAAAATGTCTGTTTCATGGGGTGCCTGGCTGGCTCAGTTGGTTAAGTCTGAGTTCAGCTCAAGTCATGATTTCACAGTTTGTGAGTTCCAGCCCCCATCCGACTATGTGCTGACAGCTCAGAGCCTGGAGCCTGCTTTGGATTGTGTCTCCTTCTTTTTCTGCCTGTCTCCTGCTTGCGCTGTCTGTCTCTCTCAAAAATAAATAAACATTAAAAACAGTTTTTAAAAAAATTTTTTGTGTTTTATTTTTTTCTAAGAGAGAGAGAGAGACAGCATGAACAGGGGAGGGTCAGAGAGAGAGGGAGACACAGAATCTGAAACAGGCTCCAGGCTGTCAGCACAGAGCCCGATGTGGGGCTCGAACCCACGAACCGTGAGATCATGACATGAGCCTAAGTCAGACGCTTAACCGACTGAGCCACCCAGGTGCCCCTAAAAACAATTTAAAAAAGAAAACATTCATTTCTATGAACAGGTTCTGTGAGGAGTGAATGACCTTAAAAAATTAAGTACCATTAAATTGGAGGCTAACACACAGAAATTTTTGTTTTAGCACTGCAACTTTTACTCAATCTACTGATCCTATTAGACACTGAAATAACTCCAATATCTAAATATTACAAAAAAGCTAAAGGTAGATACTCACTTGTTGTGAAGGTATGAACACAAAATTAAATGGAAGAAAATTTTAAATATATGTTAGTACATTAACTAATTAGTACCTTAGCTGATTCCCTTGGTTATAGATAGCAGTGTCTCAGTGGGGTTAAAGGTGGTATTTAGAGTACAACTTTTGACATTGATTTTCCAGGCATTATATGTATGTGTAACATGTAAAATTCATTTCATACATGTGTATGTGTGTGTGTTTCTGTGTATATATATGTATATATACATATATATGTGTGTGTGTGTTCTATTATGGTGAACCAATTTTCCTAGCACCATTCATTGAATAAGCTTTTTATAATGCAGAGCATTCAAACTTTTATATGTATCAGCATCACCTGGAAGATTTGTTAAGCTGCAGATTGCTTGCCCTACTCCCAGAATTTCTAATTCAATAGATGTGGATGAGACCTGAGAATTTATATTTTTAACATGCTCCCAAGGTGATGTTGATGCTTCTAGTCTTGAGAATCACTGTTACAGTGAACTTCATGGTTAGGGTATTATGACACATAAGTGTGCTAAGCCATTGTCCCCTCACTATCCGGGGTAAGTGTGCACAGCCAAGAGCAGCAGGAGACCAAGCTGGCGATCTTGAAGTCACATCCATTTACTCCAGTGTGCTGTATACAAATACCATTTTTACGTATTCCCTTGACATTAAAAAGCTAAAATCACTAAGAGAAAATACAACTTAGTAGTTAATTAACATGAGGTTTTGGACTCTCTTAAACTCTCTTAGCCAGTTACTTAATACTTTTGAGCCTCAGTTTCATTATCTATAAAGATAATACCTCACAGTTGTACTGTCCATTAACTTTCTGAGATGATGGAAATATTCCATCTATGCTGTCTGGTAGAGTATACACTAGTCACATGTAGCTTTTGAGCATCTGAAATATGGCTAGTGTAACTGAGAAACTGAATTTATTTTATTTAATTTTATTTAACCTAAATTTAAAGAGCCATGTGTTAATAATCATTAGCAGAGTAAGGACCTCAGAAAATCATCTCCTACACAAAAGCAATGAGAATATGGGCAAAAATGGTCCAAGTCAGCTTTTCAAGAACCCTGGAAATTAATCAAAAGCTGATATAGGAAATAGTAATTCAAGGAAATTGAATCTTTACAAGAACAGTGAGCTCTGTGGCATTTTAATTCGCCATGGACCCATCTCCTCTCTAGCTCTATGGTAGCCTTGAAAACCAATAAGCACAGTGACATTTTCAATCTGGCAGCCACTGTAAGGGATAAAATGGGGTTAGAGCTCCTTAAAAGCCCTGTTCCCAAAGAACTATCATTATTGGATCTGTCCCATAGTTCCCTGGAAGGGATATTTTGCCATACTAGCATGGCTGTTTTTACTGGACTGGAATTGGGGATCTGCCCTATGCAAACCCTAAGGAATGTTTGTCAAAAACAATCAGAGGGAATTGTTTAACACTGCAGCTGCCTGAGGCAATAGATAACAAAGTGTTCCCTGTATTCTGAAATTTCACAATGATATTCTTTCGTGTCGGTTTATTTTCACCCAATTTGCTGGGCTTCTGTAGACTTTTTTCATCTGGAAATGTACACCCTTCAGTTCTGGGTAAATTTCTTACACTATTTTGTTGATAATTTCTTTTCTCTGCTTTCTTTATTCCTCAAACTCCGGAGTTTGGATTGATACACAAATTTTCTTCTGGGTTTTTTTTTCTCCTATTATTTATATCTTTTTGCTCTTCTCTATAATAAGATTACCTTAATTCATCATCTTAACCGACTGAGCCACCCAGGTGCCCCTTCCTTAATTCATCTTCTAACTTTTATGAAGTTAAAAATTTTTTTGTTTTTATTGTTGAAAAGCTCTTTACCTTGATTTTCTTTTTTACAACAGCCTATTCTTTTTTTAAATTGATTTTTTTTTAAATGTTTTATTTATTTTTAGGAGAGAGAGAGAGACAGACAGCATGAGCAGGGGAGGGTCAGAGAGGGAATCACAGAATGAAACAGGCTCCAGGCTCTGAGCTGGCAGTCAGCACAGAGCCCGATGCGGGGCTCGAACCCACGAACTGCGAGATCATGACCTAAGCGAAAGTCGGTCGCTTAACCGACTAAGCCACCCAGGCGCCCCAAACTGATTTTTTTTTAAAGTGCAAGTGGGGGAGGGGCCGAGAGCAAGGGGAACAGAGGCTCCCAAGTGGGCTCTGTGCTGACAGCAGACAGCCCAATGTGGGGCTTGAACCCATGAGTCGTGAGATCATGACCTGAGCAGAAGTCAGATGCTCAACTGACAGAGCCACTCAGGCACCCCAGCCTACTCTTGTTGATACATAATCTCCTATTTCTGTGGATATGAATTATACTATTATATCTGTCTCTTAGACAGGTTTTAACTAGCTTCCTTAGTCTTCCTCTTTATCCACACTTCTAGGGGGAACAACCTGGTTCACCCACTTCTGGGCCTACTGAGGATTCTGAAGTGTAGTACTTCTCAGTATGATCCCTAGATCAGCAATATCAGCATCTCCTGGGAACTTGTTAGAAAAGCAAATTCTCAGTCCCTATCCAAGACCTACATAATTAGAAACTCTCCCCCAGCAATTTGTGTTTTATTTAATAAATTCTCTAGGTATGGGGCACCTAGGTGGCTCAGTTGGGTAAGCATCCAACTCTTGATTTCAGCTCATGTCATGATCTTATGGGCTCTGTGTCAGGTTCCACACTGTCAGCACAGAACCTGTTTGGGATTCTCTTTCTCCTTCTCTCTTTGCCTCTCCCCCGCTCATGCTCTCTCTCCCTCTAAATACATAAGGAAATAAACTTACAAATAAATTCTCTAGGTGTTTCTGATGAATTAGGTTGCTAATTTTGGCTGTATTAATATATTATATATTAATATTATATATATATATATATATAATTCCCTTTATTGTAGTTTAAGAGAGGCTTCAGGAGAAAGTACATTTAGATACATGAGTTCATTTGCTATCTTTACCTGGAAGTCTGTTTGCATTCACTCATTCTTCAAGCTTTTTCACTCCCAGTAAAAATAACTGTTACTAAATCGAAAGGATGTTTTAGTTCTCATATTATTAGACGTTTCAGCAGCTTCAACTTACTTATTTCCACTTGGAAATATTCTATTTTCTGAGACTCTGGAATATCTGTTTGTCTTCTGCCTGAGTCCCAAAGTTGTAGTTCCTCAAAACTTGGGTTCTCTAGGTGTTTTTTCCATTCTGATGGCATTACACACTGTATCTCCTAACTTCATCTCTCTTCTGGACTACTGACTCATATGTAACAGCTCACTTGGCATCTTTACTTGACTTTTTTACATAAATCCAATAACTAGCATGTCTAAGACAATCCTTGAGCCCATGCCTGTAATCCTGCTCTGTATTTTCTCCCTGCTTCATAAATGAAGCAGGACACTAGTCCAAGCCATAACCATCTCTTGCCTGGACCCCTGCAATAGTTTCCTTGCTTCCATCCTTGCACCCTCCAATCCATCTCCAAGTAAGAGCCACAATAATCTTTTAAAAAGGTAAATCCCATCACGCCATTCTCCCTTAAAAAGCCTTCCCTGGCTTTTCATTGTACTTAGAATTAAAAACTACGCTTACAATATGGTCTATCAGAACCAGCCTGATCTGGTCTTCCTGTCTCTTTTCCTTCTTGCTTACTATATTTGAGCCAAATTTGCCTTCTTTTTTGGTCCTTTTAAAGAATTGAAGGTTTCTGTACATGCTGATCTCTTCACTTGGAAAACTCCTCCTCTACTCCCTTTGCTTGGATAACTCCTACCTTTTTTTTTTTTTGGTTTAACTATACCTGGCTCATACGTAAACTATGTTCCACTGGTTACTATGTCTTATACTGCCTTATTCTTTTTCTTCATAACACTTAAGTCCGTATGAATTTTAAATGTGTTTGTGTGTTGTTTAACATCTGTGCCTTCCATTAGACTAAGTCCTTCAGATAGTAGGGCTTATGATAGTTTTGTCTGAACTGTATATCTAGAAAACAATACAGTGCCTGACATAGAGTAAGTACTCAAAAAATAGTTGCTGAATGAAAGAAGAATAGACCTGTCTAAAGTCTCAGAGCAAGTTAGTGGCAACACCAAGATTCAAAACCAAGTCTTCCCTTTCAGATCTTTAAATTACCTCATTTTTTAAATTATTCCATACTTCCTATATAAGGTGCTTTTTTAAAATAATGTTTATTTTTGAGAGAGAAAGACAGAGAGCAAGAGGGAGAGGGGCAGAGAAAGAGAGAACCACAGAATCTGAAGCAGGCTCCAGGTTCCGAGCTGTCAGCAGAGCCCGATGCAGGGCTTGAACTTACCAGATTGCGAGATCATGATGTGGGCCAAAGTCGGATGCTTAACCAACTGAGCTACCCAGGTGCCCCGAAGATGTTTTATTTCTAAGTGCTTTTGAGACACTTTAATAAATGCTCTACTATCTATAACTTAATTCTATGTAATATTCTGAATATCTGTTAATGCTTGTCCTAAGTACTGGCATTTCTGTATTAACAAAAGTTTTTTATATTTGAAAATAAATATGTGAAAGAAAATACTTACTCTGGCTTTTACAAAACCACATTTACCAAATAAGAGGTTTCAAAATCGTATGTCAGGACAATTTTATCTTAATTTTTACTTACGTAAAATAAACTAAATTAATATTAAGGGGGAAATTGTGATTAATAGGATTTTAACTTCAAATATTAAATATTAACTTCAAGAATCACAAAGTCAGACTGACTCAGTTTTCTAGCTGTGTGAATTTGGGCAAGTCACTGAATCTTAGTCTGCTGAGGCCATACCTTATCTGGCTACAGCTTCACTCCTTTAAATTTCCTTACAGCTGAAGGATTTATAATTCTCTAACACAATAAAAATTAATTAAACAAAAATTTATTGTCAACTCTGTGCCAGTCATTGCCTTAGGTGCTGGGAATGCTGCTTATATTTCAGCAGAAGACAGATATTAAACAAGTGAGCATACAAACAAGATAATCTCATGATTTGGGCTTTTAAAGTTGGGGACAGGAGAGAAGAGATATTTACTTTAGTCAGAAAAGGTCTCTCAGAGGTATCTTCTGGGAAAAGATATGAATGTCAAGAAACCAGTCAAGAGAAGATTTGGGAAAAGCAACTCCAGGTTAAGCAGTGCTTTTCAAACTGTGGGCCCTGATCTATTTTGTGGAACATGAAATCAATTAAGTGGGCCAGGGGCATAATTGAAAAAAAATTAGAATGCATAATAAGAAATAACGTTTTGTTTCAATGATGTACACATAATACATATTGAATAATGAATATATATATATATCATTGAAATATATATATTATACGTGTGTGTGTGTGTGTTTGTACATACATACATATGTATGCATACATGCCTACCCAGGCACAGTGTTAAGTGTATTTCTTTTTTCTTTTTTTTTTTTTAAACGTTTTTTATTTGTTTCTAGGAGAGAGAGAGAGAGACAGCGTGAGCAGGGGAGGGTCAGAAAGAGAGGGAGACACAGAATCCGAAACAGGCTCCAGGCTCCAAGCTGGCAGTCAGCACAGAGCCCGACGCGGGGCTCGAACCCACGAACCGCAAGATCATGACCTAAGCGAAAGTCGGACGCTTAACCGACTAAGCCACCCAGGCGCCCCTAAGTGTATTTCTTACTATACTGAGATCAAAAAAGTTTGAGAGCCACTGAGGTAGAGGGACCAGCTAGTCTGAAGGCCTTGGGGACAGTTAAGAGCTTTGTGAGTCATAGGGGCAAAAAAGCCAGCATGACTGAAGTGAGGACTGGGGAGGAGGTATAAAATGAGGTAGGAAATGTATATAATTTTCCTACATATAACTTCTAACCAGCATCTTAATCTGGACTGCCACCTCTATTCTCATCATGGTTCCTCGTTAAGAAACATGGCCTAATAACATCCTTGCTTTTATGTCACTTTGTAAACTGTCACTAAGAGAAGTTAGCAAATTACACTAATGTGACTGCAAAAGTACTCTCTAAGCTGTATTTTACAGTGAGAATGTATTATTTGAGTAGTTACAAAGTGAAAAAACCAAGTTCATAAACCCTGAGGGAGCCATCTGTTTCGTTTCAGATCCTCACTATAATGAGAAACTTTAAAGGTTAGTAGTATTTAATTCTGCAAATCTCTTGGCTACAAATACAAAAGGAAATAGTATGAAGAGACCACTTAAGTCAAATGCAGAGAAAAAAAAAAAAGAGATCGGGACTGTAGATGTGGTTCTTCCACTAACCAGCTAAGTGTCCTCACAACTTACTTAACCTCTTTTGGGCCCTCAGATTCCTTAAGTGTGAAAAGGAAAGTAAAGCAGGTGTTCAGTAAGGTCACTTCATACTGTAAAATTTTATGATTCTAAGTTATTCTAGGTCATTTACTATTTTTAAAGGTTGCAAAAATTAACCTGATGTTTATCAGAATTGTTTTTAAAGAGGAAGTTAAATGGTATACGATGAAGCTAATGTCCTTAGCTTTACAGTGGGATGTCACGGTGTTTGGAGAACTAGAAGACAAAGTCAGTTATCGCTGAAAGTTTATGTTGTACTTAGGCTCATCTGCACTTTGGAACCGTGTGGCCTTTTCCTATCACCAGGTCAGCATATGGACAGATAACAAACTTCCTGAAAAGAAAGTGTAAACCTCAAATTATGTGTATCTAAAGCCTGACAACAACCCTCCGGACAAGGTAAATGGAAAGTGAGTTGGCCACACAACTCACCTACAAGTTCTCCAATCATGAAAAGCAAGTAAAGAACGGCCGCAATGGTCAATCTGGTTTTCACCTTTCTCTGCTTCAGTAACTCTCGCTGTCTGCTGCAGTTGTCACAGGGGTCCACCTTCAGACTCAGCTGACTGTTGGTCAAAGGCAAGTCCTGGTCCAGTAAGGAATCGTCGTCGGCCTGGAGGGCCGGGTGCGCCCCGTTAACAGGCCTTTCTGGGATTTCAGAACCATCATCGGCCACCACAACGCGAAGTTTGTTAAACCGAGAGAGCCCCTCGTCCTCCGCCTCCTCCGAGAAGTCAAAGGCGCTGGTGTCATTTAAAAACAGCGGCGCGTCATCTTTCCGTAGCAGAGATTTGAGGCGCTTCCACGCGCCGGATCCGGCCATGGCAGAGGCTGAGCGGCCGCGGCGCGGAACGGCTCGGTGCGGGCGGCCGGCCGGCGGCTCCTACTTCACCGGAGCGCCAGTTCCCGGGGGCACTGCCGCGCGTCCCTCCCCATCCTGTGGAAAACGAAACACGCTATAAATTAAAGGTGTCCCCATACTGCCCACAAGTTCCGAAGCCCGGGGCGGAGGGGGTCGCAGGCCGGCCCGGAGGCTCCGGGGCTCCGCGAGGGGGCGGCGCATCTACCTGGGGCGCTGCCGCGGCGCCGCCGCTCATCTCCCCGCTCCCGGCCGGCCGGCTCGGCGGGGCTGACTCGCGCAGCAAGACCCGGCGCCGGGCGGGGAGCGGGGCCGTCCCGGCGCCTGCCGCGCCCGCAGCTCCAGGCCGGCTTCCCGGGTCTGACAGGTTCAGGGCTGGCCGCCGGGGGCCGCCGCCTCTCCCCGCCCTGCGCGAGGCCGCGCGCGTGCGCCGGAGCGGCCGCAGGCAAGGAGCGCGAAGGAGGGGTCCGCACGAGCCCACGCAGGCCCGCCGCGCAGGGCTGCGGCGCCCGCAAAGGGGCGGGGCAGGGGCGCGCGCCGCATCCCCCCCCGCACCTCCCCTCGCCCCAGTCCCGCGTGGGGAGCCCCGCGCCCCCCGCTCTACTAGAGGGCACTCACAGGGAAGCCCCAGCCTCCGGTGCCGCACTGTCGCCTCCCCAGGCGAAGAGGCGCTAGCGGATGGAGCCGCGGCCTGTGGTCCAAGTGGGTAGATTCGAATGGTCCCGCCCGCCAGGCCTGGGCGTTGCCGCGGGAGGTCGCTCCACCCTAGGAAGGCCTCAGGAGTCTCGGGCCAGGATCTCGGCCGCGGGTCCAGGGCAGAACACCAAATTAGTGCTTTCTTGCTAAGTGAGAAACTAAACAGCTTTCTTTCCTCGAGTTGCTGCTTCTCTCCCAAGTTGACAAAATTTGCTGCACGGTCGGGTCAACCTTGAGAGGGCAAGCAAGGCTTCTGGTGGTCCGCAGCTCTATGTCCCGCTTTGTATTCACTATTGCTTTTCAGCAAGTATGTGTTACCCTGTGTGTTCGGTGAGTGTTCCTTTTGCTTCCATTTACAACATAGACTAAACCCAAGCAGAAAATCTAGTAAACGGTGTCCGTTTTGGCCTTTGGTTCTGTTAACAACCACAAATTTAAAAGAAGTTCTGAGAAGCAGTTTCTGATTTAGACTTAAGTTTCGGGGCGCCGGAGTGGCTCAGTGAGTGAAGCGTCTGATTTTTAGCTCGGGTCAATGCTGCGCATGATCTCGTGGGTTCGTGGGTTCCAGCCTTGCATAGGGCTGTGTGCTGACTGCTGAGCCTGGAGCCTGCTTCAGATTCTCTCTCTCTCTCTCTCTCTCTCTCTCTCTTTCTCTCTCCCCCTCTCTCTCACTCTCTCCCTCTCTCGCTCACACTTTGTCTCTCTCTCAAAAATAAGTAAATATTTTTAAAAACTTAAAAAATACTTCGGGGCACCTGGGTGGCTCAGTCGGTTAAGCGTCCGACTTCAGCTCAGGTCATGATATTGCAGTTTGTGGGTTCGAGCGCCGCGTCGGACTCTGCTGATACTAGCTCAGAGCCAGGAGTCTGTCTTCGGATTCTGTGTCTCCCTCTCTCTCTGTTCCTCCTCTGCTCATGCCTTCTCTCTCTCTCTCTCTCAAAAGTAAATAAAACATTAAAAAAAAACCTTAAAAAATATTTAAGTTTTAATAGTAAAATGGAAGGGTGCCTGAGTGGCCCGGTGGGTTAAGCCTGGCTTCAGCTCAGATCATGATCTTGAAATTTGTGAATTTCAGACCATGTTGGGCTCTGTGCTGACAGCTGAGACTGGAGCTGCTTCAGATTCTGTGTTTCTGCCCCTCTCCTGCTTGCTCTCTCACGCTCACTCTCTCTCTCTCTCTCAAATAAATAAACATTAAAAAATAATAGTAGAATGGAATGGCAATAAGCGTCCTCATTCCCTTTCTCCCTTGAAAGTCTAAGAGATTCTTAATCCAGAGGGCTTGGATGTGTTTTAGGGTCTTCTGGAGGCCTTAAATTCATGTGCAAAACATTGTGGCTTATATGTGTTTTCTTGAGTTAAGTCTGCTAGCTTTCATCATGTTCTCAAATGGGTTTAAGACTCAAGTAAGATTTAAAACAGCAACACTGTCAGGGGAACTCATAGATCAACCCCCTAGCTTCTACTTGGAGTTGACTTGTAGCGCAAACTCCTCTATTTATCCTGTGTTAATGGACGTTGTATTTTGATAGTAGTCTACGTGGATTGCCCAATTTCAAATTACAAAATCTGTAGTAAAAAGTCACATGGAACATCATTTTCCTCTGAAGATTCACATGGCACTTTCTAATCTTCCATGCCTCAAGTGCAAGAGCACCAACTGCTTTTCAACTCCCCAGCAATCCTTTCACTTTCGAATGCCCGCCGTATCCCTACACAGCTGCAGCCATGGGAGTCAGGTGAGGAAACCGCATCACAGATCCCATGGCTCCCAAGACATTCAGAAATCAGGGGCCTTAGGTCATTATCAGCTGAAGGGAGAGTGCTTACTGAACGGTGCTTTCCAGCCCCAAATATCCACCCAATTTGGGAGTAGGTTAGTTGTTGTTTTTCATTTGTTTGTTATACTGCCTGAAATTCTACTAATGAGAAAGACAAATGAATAAAGCAACTATGTCAGGAGTGTTCTCCTTAGTATAAATTCTTCAAATACGATTCCATGCAAGGAAAGGGGATAGATGTTTTCAAAGAAAATTGAGGCAAGAACATGGGGTACTTACAGTAAGCTTTGTTGGGAAGGGCTGCAGTTCTGCATCTTCATTTATTTTTACTATTTGGTGTCACGGGGTGTCTGCACAGAGTGACGGGTGGGTAACAAAAACAACAGAGTGATTTTAATGTGTGTTTACAAATTGTGACACTTGTTCTATCCAGAGATAGAGCTGAATCTCCCTCCCAGCGAATGTGAGCTGCTCTTATTGAATAGCATAAGGCCTACAATGCATAGGATATGACATAAGTGACAGTATATGCCTTAAAAGACTACATCATAAAAGGCACTGAAGCTGCCCGCTTGTTCTTTCTTGGATGTCTTGCGCTGGGAGAAGCCAGAGTTGCCATGTCACGAGGAACTCAAGCAGCCGCAAGGAAAGGCCCATGTGATGAGAACGGAGACAGCCTGCCAGCAGCCATGTGAATGAGGCCTATTGGAAGTAGATCCTCCAGCCCCAGTTAAACTTTCAGATGTTTGTAGCCTGGGAGATGTTCCCTGAAACCCCATGAGAGAGCCTGAGCAGCACCTGCCATCTGAGCCACTCCCAGATGACCCACAGAGACTGAGATAATAATGTTCACTGTTTTAGTAGGGTAAGTTTGGGGATAATTTGTTACACAGCAATAGACAATGAGTACACTCAATCTCAACTTCCCTCTGTGCCACGAAGGACACTTTTCTTTTTCTTTTATCACATGAGCCCTTGTTCCTAGGCCTGTCCTTCGGCTAGTGGCATGATTTCTATCGTTGAACTTTAAAATGGCTAGATAAATAGACTTCTGTGAATAGTCTTGGGATTTGCGACCTTATTTCTGTGTATTCAGAATTTATAACAATAGACAAATGAACTTTTGAAACATAATCCATTTATAATCTGGGTACTGCCTGCAATTCAGCTAGCTATTGCTCACCATGCCATTCTTTGATAAGAGACTTCATACTTCTTTCCAGTTGAAGAACTCTTTTGCATGGGCAAATAGAAAAAGTTGCCAACCATTTGTCCTACCTCTTACCTAGGTAACTCCTAATACACAAATTGTTTAGGTAATAGCAGAAGTCTGACATTTGCAGGATGCACACCTCCAGCAGTCAAAAAGAATAGCCTTCAAATGTCCTATGTCAAAACCTGTTTTCCGGCCCAGATATCTCTCAGAACAAATGACAATGCTGAAAATAATACCACAGCTAACATTTACCTGAGACTTGTTTATGCACCACGCACCTCTGCAGGGGACCTGATTTCCATCAGTTCGTTTAATCCTTATAGCATCACTATGAGGAAGTTAAGGATTCAAAGCATGGGTCTTAAAGTCCGACTGTATTTGTATCCTGGCTTCACCATTTAGTCCTATCATCTCTGGAAAACTATTTAACCAATCTGTGCTTCCATTTCTTACATATAAAATGGGGATGATAAGGGGCGCTTGGGTGGCCCAGTCAGCTGGGTGTCTGACATCGGCTCAGGTCATGATCTCAATGGTTAATGGGTTCGAGCTCCGCGTCGGGCTCTGTGCTGACAGCTCAGAGCCTGCAGCCTGCTTAGGATTCTATGTCTCCCTCTCTCTCTGTTCCCTCCTCCACTCAAGCTCTGTCTCTGTCTCTCTCAAAAAAAAAAAAAAGCATTAAAAATTTTTTTAAATAAATAAAAATAAAATGGGGACGATAAAAGGACCCGCTTCACAGGGCTGTGGTACAGATTCAATGAGAGACACATGTAACATGTAGCATATGTATAGTGCTTGCTAAGTGCTCCATCAATGACAGCTATTCGTATTTTTTAAAGAGATGAAGGCATGGAGTCTCAGGGAAGTGAAGTAACCTGAGTGGAGTTGTGCAGCTAGCAAACAGAGCAGGAATTCAGTTCCAAATTGCTTTGGTTTCAGAGCTCCAGCTTTCAACCAGTAGCCTGCACTGTCCTCTCAGTTTCCACCCACAACTGGAATGATGTGCAGAAAAGCACCTAGGCTCCTTTAGGTGTGTTAGGAGAAATCCCTGTTCCATATGTCAAAGATTTGCCAGCAGCTTGAGACTTCAACATCACCCTGTGAAATCCTTCTTGGAAAGGAAGGGAAAAAAGTGGAAAAGTTTTTAAAAATTGAGATATGGGAAAAGGTGCCACTTAATTGACAGGCTCCCATGTTGCATATTCCCAACCTGAGAATTCCTTTCTCCACTGGAATAGGTGATTATTAGGTGATTCCCGAAGGATGAGTCTGGAATGTGACCACTTATCTTTTTCAGGAGGAGTTGAAAGCTGTCAGATACATATGGACAAGGGCTAGTGATGTGATACACAACTATGGGTGGTATAATAATTTCTTCTTTTTATGGAGTGCTCTGCTAACAGAGTGCCTGGAGAGTCAGTTTAACCCCTCCTCCAGGGGAGAAGGATGTGAAGTAGGTAAGAGAATGCCCAAGGACAGGCAAGTTGCCTTCTTGGACAGTGAGGAGGAAAAGGAGAGGATCTCTGAGCCATGCCCATGTATCTGTCAGGAAAACCAACCTGTGAGCCAAAACCAACACTCAGTCAAGTTCGTTGTTTTCATACCTTTGTTTTTGTCTTCCCTTACTTTTTAAAGTAAATGTACCTATGAATTTCTTTAACCATGTCTGGCTAAAATTAGAGGGAATAGGAGCTGGGATGAGTTTAAGACATAAGCACACTAGCCCAGGAGTCTAGAGGTAACAGCTGGGGTGAGAGAACTTGAAGGTGAGGGTAGAAGGCTGATTTTGGACGTGCTTTCGGGATCCTCCATCACAGACTAGAGAAGCTGTTTCAGCTTCTAATTGTGCCATCCTTTCATTGTGATGCCCAACATCATACTGTTGGTGAACTCATTTTCTTGGCTGTAAAAGTGGAAAATAGTATTTGTCCTACCTCTTTCACAGGAACACTGTAAGAATCCAATGAGATTTTGCATGAGAAAACATTCCCTTACCTACTTTACTAGAGAGAGCTATTAAAAACCATGCCATCTGGGGCACCAGGGTGGCTCAGTCGGTTAAGCATCTGCTCTGGATTTTGGCTCAGGTCATGATCTCGCAGTTCATGGGATGGAGCCCTCCACTGGGCTCGATGCTCACAGCATCCAACCTGCTTGGGAATTCTCTTTCTCCCTTGGGATTCTCTCCCTAGCTTGTGCTCTCTCTCAAAAATAAATAAACATTGAAAAAAGAAGAAAGGAAAAAGAAAATATTTTAATCATAGTTCATAACTTTAAATTCCCCTCTAACAAACATTTTTATTTCTTGAAGCTGGGGTTTAATTTCTAAGAAATTTTTAGTGGTGAGATTAATCCGTCTCATACTGATTAGAGATGATTAAGACACTAATACTCAGTTTATACTTATACTAGACTTATTTCAAAGAACATTATAACGTTTATGAATTAAACTAAGAGAAGCAACTCTGGACAAAGTGACTCTTTTGTGGCCTCTTACAACTGGTGGCTTTAAACAATGAAGGCCATTGTATAAGAACTCCCTCCTAGGGTTATTGTGAGGATTAATTAGATTAAAATCTGCAAAGTGCTTTGAGTTTTTCCCAGAATTCCTTTATAAATAAAGATGGCGTTAATTATTTTTTTTAAAGAAGTATCCTTATATGGGTCCTCCTAGAATCAAATGTAACAAATTCACCTGCTATTTAACTAGCTGTATTCCCTGAAGCAGAAAACCCAAGACTAAGCTGACCTAAATGACCTCTAATGGTTTTAAAATGACTGTAGGAGCACACTTGAATGAGCAGAATTTAGTACACTAATCACAAAGATCTTGGTGTATGGTTTACATGACACAGTAATGCCTCATAATCACTATGCCATATGGTAATTAAGTATAAATTACTGTATTATTATAGCTATTTTGTACTGATCAAGTTTTACTCTCCTCTTTGTTATTTATACTTTACTAACTGACATTCTGGTCACTTACAAATAGGCTTTACGGCTGCCTTCCCATAGTAGGCCTTCCTCGCCTCCAAATACTAGAAACAATGAGAGTTTTTCCTGATACTAGGTACCGTCTAGTCCTTGTTGTACACGCAGAAACACATAGACTCAGATGAAAGACAGGTATGTCAACAACCCGCTCTCCAGCACCTTAAGTTCCTTGGGAACCCCCTCTCAGTTTCCTAGTCTCTGATGTTCATCCTTTCCCAGTGACCCACCCAGCCCATGCCATAAGCACCCCCCACCCAGCCCACACCGTAAGCACCCCCCACCCAGAAGGAGCTACTCTGAATATTCTGATTGAAGGGTGTGGGGCAACCCAGGTGGGTGGAAGCCTGAGATGTGGGCGGTGACAGAATTCATCCTTGGCAGAACAAAGGAGATAGAAGTTTATTAAATACACTGCAAGAGATCTGTGGGCAGGACAGCAAAGGATAAACTGTCCAATAGGGGGCTGTGGTGGGGGGCTGTAGTTAAGGGGGGGAAGGTGGGGAGGTATGAGAATGTGTGGAATTTTCCTTTTTTGGTACCTGTGGTCCATTGTAAATAGCTCACTGGTCAACTTAGGCTTAAGACTCTTGAGGCTGGTCACCTAATGGGCCTGTTTGCATTCAGCCTGGTGGTCACTGTGGGCCCTTTTACTTTACTCAGGTTTCCATTGCTCAAGCACGTTGCCTAAAGGCAGCCTCTGCCGTGGACTTGAGGAAGCAGAAACTCTGGAGCAGGCCCAGGTGGAGTCTGGGGAACAGTAGGGTAAGAAGCCCATTGTCCATGAGGAACCCATCTGGCTGACAACTGTCCTGATTTACTTGGGATGGAGGGTATTTCCAAGATCTGAGCCCTTCAGTTTACTGGGTGAGTTTACCTTGTAGCAAGAATAGATTCTGTAGCCGTGATATTGCCGGGCAGGGAGAGTATCTTAGCTGGGAAAGGCACCTTGTTCCCGTTGGGCCCTGCAGCACACTGGGCTGGGTGTTCACCGGGAATTCTCAGGACGTGACTCCTGTTACAGTGAAATGGAAGAGGTCAAAGGTGTCCAAGAGGGAGGCCAGCCCCACTCAGATAGGACCCCCAAGGCACAATGACCCTGTTAGAGCCACCGAGGCCCCAAGTCAGTTCTATAAGTTTGCAGGTGTGGAAACTATGCCTGGGGATGAGGCTGGGGAAATCAGTGTATGCCAGGCCACCCCAAGAGACTGAATAAAGTAAAGTACTTGACTACTTATTTATCCTGGGGTGCAGTTCTCTTATTGCTCTAGATGCCCTCTTCGCAGGACCAGTGAATATGAGACACCAACTTCCCTTACAGCTAGAACAAAGGTGGCTGGGGGTTTTCAATGACATCATTTACACGCCTCATGGCCTCTCCTGGCCTCTTGTGTTCCTTTTTCCCTGCCGGCGTGTTCTTCCTCATTCTCAGTGTCTGGCTGCTGCCATTCATCTTTCAAACCCAGTAGATTCTGCCCAATTTCTCTCCTACTTTCCCTCTTTCCTCCTCTCCTTCCCCTCTTTCTTCCCTCCCCTTTTTTTAAACTTTAAAAAAATGTTTATTTTTGAGAGAGAGCGAGAGCACACACACGTGTGCACGAGTGGGGGAGGGGCAGAGAGAGGGGGGTGCAGAGAGGACCCAAAGCAGGCTTCACTGACAGCAGAGAGCCAGATGTGGGGTTCGAACTGGCAAATGGCGAGATCATGACCTGAGCCAAAGTTGGACACTCAACCAGCTGAGCTACCCACGTGCCCCTTCCCTCCCTTTCTTCTTTTCTTCTTTCTTTCCTCCTCTCTTCCTTCCACAAATGTTATTTGAGTGTTTATCATATGCCAGTCACTAAAGTAGGCACTGGAGCTATAGAATTGGATAAGACAAAGTCTAGATGATAACCATCCCTGATTAGTCCTGTATACACAGCCTAAATTCCAATTCTTTATTACTAATTTTCACCCCAGATTCCATGCAGACTGTTAATATCTCTATATAACTTTCAAGTGAAAGTGAAAATAATATAGCCTTTCTTCTCGGTTCAATTTTAGTTTAGTCTCTCTGAAATCATTCCCTAGGCCCCCATCTGGTGAAGTCTTCAGATAACCACCTCCACCCACGACGTGTGGATTTTTATCACTTATTATTACTGTTGCTCCCTTTAGTTCTCCCAGTTGTGCTTAGTTTTGAGTTGTGACCTCACAGCTCAGAGCCCTGTCTTCATTTTATAAATAGTCGGGATATTTTTGTCCCAAAGTGCATACTTTGCACTTGTTCCCACTAAAGCTCATTTGTCAGTTGTCTGACCACATGGTCAGATTTATAGGCTCTTCTGACTAGCCCGAGGATTGGCAAACTTTTTCCATAAAGGGCCAGATAATAAATAATTTCAGTTTTGCAGCAACACCTTGGTGCTGGTTGCATTTGCTCATTTCTGCTCTTATGAAAGCAGCCATAGATGATAATAAGCAAACGAGTATGGCTATGTTCCCATAAAACTTTATTTATGGAAACTGAGACGTGAATTTCATATACTTTTCACCTGTCACAAAATATTAGTCTTCTTTTGATTTTTTTCAACCATTTAAAAACGGAGAAACCATTCTTAGCTCAAGGGCTGCACAAAAGTTGGCGTGGGCTGAATTAGGTTTGTGGGCTGTAGTTTGCTGACCGTGATCTAGACTCATCACTTAGTTAGAAGTGTTGTTAGAGATTTCACTGCTCACTCCCTCCTCCTGATCACTTATATGTATCTTAGGGAGCTCCTTCCATGCAAAGATGCTTGAGGATTCAGGCTCTTTACTTGGGTCCATCAAGCTCTACTTGCCAGGGAGCCACGTTTAGGCATCCTCACACAGGTGGGATGTAGCTGGGGTCCCAGAAGCCACTAGACTGCTCTGCTTATGGCTGCCCACGCCCACCAGTGACTTGTGTAAGCACCTTGGACTTTTCAGAATGGAAATCTGATTGTGTGTCCACTCTTCCCTATACCATCAGTGCAGCCAGTCTGAACTGTAGCCACACTGAATTTGAATTTTTGGGGGGGCTCTGGTCACAGCCATTGTAATTGCAGTTGCCTTATATGGCATGTTTTTTTCACCACTCCTTTACGTAGTCAATTCTAAATAAAGTCTAGAGCCACTCTCCCCCATGGCACCCATCCCACCCCAAGTGTAAACAAGTCCATTTATTACATGTGCTCATGCTTCACTTTGTAATTGTATCTTCATTAGTGGCATTATTTGACTTGTGGCTGCTTCTCACTCCCTTGTTAGGCTTTATGCTCCATGAGACTGGGGGCTGTCGATCTTTGCTCATATCTCCTGCTCCTGACCCTTGCCTAGCACATAGTAGGTGCTCAACAAGCATTTGTTGAACAGAGGAACCAGATCCACAGCAGACCTCAGCTTATTGGCTGGGCTTTGTCTATAATAGCCTCCTCCCCTTACTAGCAGAAAGAACTTCAATTCAAGATCTCTTTGAGCTTCAGTTTCCTTCTCTATCAAAAGGAGAGAATAGTTACGATCAGTGAGTTGTGGACTTAAATGAGATAATGTGACCGCACAAGGCTTGTTCCAGTCACTGTTAGATATACGTCAGACCCCTTCCCCACTTCCTCTCATTGCTGTCAACTCCATGGTTGTCTGACATCTAACTACCCCTTGCTCAGATATCGCAAGTGCACAGGACTCTACCTTCCTGATGAGAACTGCACTGTTTCCTCTGAGAAAACCAGAATTAGAAATATGATGACTGTACCCTTCATACATCTGCTGCCTTTCCAGGACCTCTTACTTGAGCCCTCTGGGTCCCTCCCCTGGCTGTAGTCAACAGGCTCCACCCATCGTATTTGCTTCTGAGTCAGCCAGTTCCTTATGGCCTCACAAAACATTCCAATCTTATATGACTCTGTGGGACCTCCTTTGTAAGAGCATGAATCCCATTCATGAGGGCTCCACCCTCATGACCTAATCACCTCCCAAAGTCTCCACCTTCTAACACCATCCCATTAGCATTAGGATTCCAACTGGTGACTCTGGGGGTACGCAAATATTCAGATCATAGCAGAGGTTGTATACCAGACACTGCACTAATGTGTCTTAGGCCAAAGAAATGGGTCACTAGTGTTTAAAATTAGTTTAAAATTAAGACATTGGGGGTGGTGGGGTGCACCTGGGTGGCTCAGTTGTTTAAGCATCTGACTCTTGATTTTGGCTCAAGTCATGATCTCACAGTTTGTAAAGTTGAGCCCTGTGTCGGGCTCTGCGCTGACAATGTGCCTGCTTGGGATTCTCTTTTCCTCTCTCTGCCCCTCTCCCACTTGCTTGCACATGCACACATACTCTCTCTCTCTCAAATAAATAAGTAATAAATAAATAAATGAAATTAAGACATTGAGTAGTTAATAGAAGAGGCATTTGGAGAGGAGGGCGTGGAGGTAGGGAAGATGGAGAGAAAGGATGGGGAAGAGAAGAATTTCCTATGAAATCACTGCCTTGGGGGCCCATGGGTCAGGAAGAGGCCATTGGGTATGGTGAGGAAGGCAAGGGAAGATTAATGAGATTCTTACACACCAAGATAGAAGTGACAAGGTGGAACCAGCAGAACTGTGCTCTGGGATGACATACTGCCTCTGCTGGTGTGCCTATGGTTTTCAGTTCCCTCTCCAACAGCCAGTACTTTCCTAGCTCTCTGACATTGTTTTCTCTTTCCCAAGCCAGCAGAGAATGATCCCTTTGCACTGGTGTTCTCTGTAGAGGTAGCATCCCTGTTTATCTTGACAGCCTACCAGAATTGCCGCAGTGATGGCCTGTTTTGCTGTGTAGAAGGGGCTTACTTCATTTCCCCTTTAGTTTCATGTGTGTGTGTTTGTGTTTGCACAGTATGTGCGTGTGTACACACATAAGAAGTGAGAGCGCCTGGATTGTTGTGATTCAGTCCACAGAGTCATGGTCACACAGAGGGATCCTTGTAACTGGAAGAGTGCTCACAGGCACACCCATCTCAGTGCATTCACTGAGAATCAGAGTCAGAAACGTGATTTTGTTGGTACCCTGAGAATATATTCATCTCTCATTAACTTGGCTCACAGAAACTAATAAATACAAAGCAGAATATTGAGGGTATGTAGGAAAGTATACGTATGAATTAGAGACCCATACTGAAATGAATAGAGATGAAGTGAGTTGGATCTGTCATTTACTTTAAAATATTTTAGTTTTGGGGCACCTGGGTGACTCAGTCAGTTAAGTGTCTGAGGTCATGATCTCAGGGTTCATGGGTCCCAGCTGCACATCAGGTTCTGTGCTGACAGCTCAGAGCCTGGAGCCTGCTTTGGATTCTGTGACTCCCTCTCTCTCTGCCCCTCCCCCACTCTCTCTCTATCTCTGTCTCTCTCTCTCAAAAATAAATAAACATTAAAAAATTTTAATAAAGTAAACTATATTAATTTTGGGGCACCTGGGTGGCTCAATCAGTTGAGCATCCAGCTTTTGATTTCAGCGCAGGTCATGATCCCAGGGTTGTAGGATCAAGCTCTGTGTCGGGCTCTGCTGAGTGTAGACCCTGCTTAAGATTCCCATTCTTTCTCTCTCTCTCTCTCTCTCAAAAGTAAACATTGAGGGGCGCCTGGGTGGCTTAGTCGGTTAAGCATCCGACTTTCGCTTAGGTCATGATCTCGCGGTTCCTGGGTTCGAGCCCCGCGTCGGGCTCTGTGCTGACTGCCAGCTCAGAGCCTGGAGCCTGTTTCAGAGTCTGTATCTCCCTCTCTCTCTGACCCTCCCCTGTTCATGCTGTCTCTCTCTGTCCTAGAAATAAATAAAAATATTAAAAAAATAAATAAATAAACATTGAAAACAAATTTTTTAAGTGCAGG